AACAGCTGAGAATGTCATTCTAATCCGTGGATACTTACAGGCTGCTGTGGACAACCTCCTCTTTTCTGCGATCTATGCCTCTGTACTATGTAGTGACTGCAATGCATTTGCATCTGTTGAGCAACCAGTACATACTGAGGGGGTCTCTTTAACCTTGCAGTGGTTTTAGTTGAGCAGAAACATTCGTAAATCTACGTGGCGTGATCGTGAAAACAGCAAGCATTTTTTTAGTGGTGCCCTCGTGTATATTTGGCATAGTTTTAACCCTGTCGAATCACGGGTGCCTGAAACCCGGAGCCAAATCGCGGATCTTGACTGTGCTGGCTCAGAGCAGTCGACGCGGTATTAGCCCCGGTCGCCACGGGATTTGGGCTCCATAAAACCGCTGTGCGGAATTCGCGCGAGTCTGTGAGTTCACAAACGATGAAGCCACGTAGCTGAACTGGACGCCATTACATGAAATCGCACAGAGAAGACGAGTGGACCCACGCAAATGGAGGTTGCCATTACTGCCGCGTAGGTTGTCACGTTTGCGCTGCTGCACAGCTCTCCACTCTGATTTTGCGTCGTTATCGTGCACTCTGTGGGTGCGACGTGCAAATTTCACTCTGCGTGCTGCGAGCTCCTTCGGGAAAGTCCTACGAACTTCCCGGGAGTTCCAGGAGATGCTCCCAGCACGCGAAGCGAAACGTCACGGCCAGAAAACGCACAGAAGAGAGGTTATCATTTTCTGGCAGGCAGAGCCACCTTATCAGTCTTGACACGAACCCGTGTTATTTGCTGCACATTACGACACACGCAATAAAACGGCGGCGTGGGTTTTGGAAGCGAGCTAGGGGTGAGCTCACGTTTGTTGCCTGATGCTTCTGGGCTGCGTGCCAAGCCTGATATTGCCTGGGGGGGGGTGTCAAGGAGAGATGGCCTTGCTTAGCGATGTCTGCCTGAGTCACACACCTCAGCGGCCTGACAGCGTAACTCCCTGACTGCGTTTGAACTGCTGTGCTCGTTTGTTAAAGATTCGCTCACCGGTCACAATAATGGATGATGCTTTTTAAACTTGAATCTACGCCGGGTGTCTTGTGTTTTAACAAATTACACACCAAACGTAATCCGTACCAATGACTGCAAGCGAGAGTGGGCTTTGAGAGTGCGCTTTTATTGCTCTGTATATTGGCATTTGTGTCACATTACATGGAAGCAAATTACTTGGGTCACTCATGATAGGGGATTATATATATTTGTAAGTATCACGCAACCTTTAATTTCATAATTTTTGGGGGCTTCCGATTTCCATTGTAATTTTTTTTATAGTTACAAACATGGATCTTAATATATATAATTTACATAGGTCACTCCATGACAATGTCTATGTGTGAGATATCACAATGAAACATTGCAACGGTGAAATGAATATCCATCAGGTCTGACTGCTGATGAGACTCAACAAGTTGAAACCGGTCCGAGGGTGTTGCTGCTTTAAACAAACGTCGCCGATAGACTCATGGGCTTAAAAAAATGTTACGTTTGTGTGAAGAAAACATTCTTAATGAAGAAATAATTTGGTCATGCAGCTGTGTTGGCAATGGTGCACAAGCACAATGAACAAAAAACGCAACACACGCATAAATAACATTGCCTTAAAACAAATAATTATAATAATAAGCACATGTGTGGGTTTTATGTGCTTATGCAGAAGGCCCATTGCCCAAAGTGTCGACGATTATATATATCTCTTCTTTTATGGAAGTGTTATTGATGAGTGTGCCGAGTTTGTGTTGTTAATTATATTCTTATTAATATACTTATCTGAAACGTATCAAACCGTACCTCATACGGTGGTGTTTGTGTGGCTCTCATTTCACTTGCGCAATCCCAGCTGCCGTTGGTTTGTTAACACATGTCTTTAATCATCTAAGCAGACGCCATGGCTCCTGAATAGCAGAGAAAATGCAGAACGCTTCTCAATCACGCGTGCAAGTTTAGTAGACGTGGTCACCGTTTCACCTGCGTCATTTTGCAGATGGCCGGTAATGTACGCATTGATCGCCGGCGTCAGATTTACAGTTTGGGAGAGGGCCTGCCTCCGCTGCGTTGGCATTTTTTACACGAATTGCGGATCGTTCCAGCTGTCCTGTGGTCTCGTCGAGGCTTGACGGTATCTGCTGGACGTTAACGATGCAGCGATTGCAATCGATTATCTTGCTTTAGGTGCACCGGTCGAGTCATGTGTGTAGGTAAAAAGCAATTATCTACCAATTGTGGAATTTATACGTGGATAAAATGACGGTGTAGGGTCACCGAGCTAGCCAAAAGCGTACAAACGACGCCAAAAGAAGTGAGAAACAATGCACATGAGACGAGAAAATGTATATTTATAAAGGGGATGAGGGTGTGATTTGTTACACTGCTGGATCAAGGCCTCCCCTTCTGGTCAGTATGGTTTGGTGAAAGGGGGAAGCCCAGGATCAGTTCATATTTCATGAAGGACTCATTAGATAGAAGTTCATTGTGCCATTACGTGTTTGCTATGTACGATTTACTGGGCACCCTGGAGATGTTTTGTCTTCAAGGGTTTATCCAGATAAAATATGTTTATGAATACAAATTAACTGTGGCTGGTAATTGAGCTTTCGATGTCGGGTTCAAAGCACAATGCGATAACCACCGCCACCAGTCTGCCCCAGGCAATAATATTACTGATAATAATATTACTGTCATTTAATGACGATAATAATTATAACTTGTAACGCTCCAAACAGTATTTGCTCACCCTCGAAGAGAGAGAGAGAATGAAGGGAGTAGACGGTGCCAAATTCCCCCCTCCAAAGCTCTACGATCCTCTATATATTAAGGTGTTATTGACCAACTAATGAGTGTTTACATGTGGGAGGACACCGGAGCACCCAGAGAAAACCCAACAGCATTTATTTGAAAACCCATTTATTTGACCAGGAAAAGCATCACCGAGTCTCAATACTTTTTCACAAAGGGCCTTGCTACATTGGGATGTTTTGGCACTTCAATGAGTGTGTGCTGTGCATGCAGGGAGGATACTGCAGTACCTGGGGAAAGGCCTCGACGCATGTGTTAGGTGTAAAAACGCCTTGGCTAGGAGTTGAACTCGGGATCGCCGGGTTCATGTCGCCGACTGTGTGAACCATTGTGCCATCACTCTCACCCTCCTCCACCTCGCAGCCTTACTGCAACGGAATTTTAGCGGAATGACCACCTCGCTTGTTTTGCTACGTGTTGTCATTTATTAATTAAACTAGCGGTTAGTACCCGGTGTTGCCCGGGCGAAAAAGGCAGACACACACATGGGCTTACAAACAGACATGGACCCATACACATAGAAACCCACTGAGTTACACGCACGCAAACACATATGGACTCACACACAGACATCGACTTGAGAGACACATGTAGTTACACACACAAATCGACTTCAAACACACAGAGTTACACACACATATATCGACTCACACATACATACATAGACTGAACAACAACAACCGCCATTCGCCACTAAGTGGCAGTGACGTCACCACAACGCTTGTGGCAGGCTATGTGCACCTTGAGGCCACGTGAAGTGACGAACACTTGCTGGCAGGAGGTCACGGGGCAGACCCAGATGGCACAGGTCGACTGAGATGACTGGCAGATGCACCAGCTGTGCCCTGTACCCTGCTAACTTGCTGTGCTTTAGCCACACGTTGCACCGCTCGTTCTTGTGAGCGTCGCTCCTGTGCCCTCCGTTGTTGTTGGAGGCCGATTGCCTCCAACTGGCCTGTAGCGTCCTCCACGAGGCTCCTCCACAGATACCGACCTTGACACCGCTGGTACCAGTCATCGACAAGTCCACTCTAAATTCGTGTTGTTGCCGTTCATGCTTGCTATGACTCAGTGCGAATGCTTTGACTCTGTGCGAATGCTGTTTCAAGTTTGTAAAACTTTTAAATGCTTGCGTGGTTAGGTCATCGGTGGATACATTTGCAATGGAGTGTGTTATTGTTGGCTTGAGAAATCTGCCATGTGAAAGAGTGTGGCACATGTGCCTGTACAGCCATTTTGTTTCAATTCACTGCTGGATGGGGGCCTCCCCACGTCGTATGGGTCATGAGCGTTATTGGACCATACTTCACCATCGTGGTCAGTGTGGCTTGAAAGTGGGGAGGAGTGCTGAATAACATTGGATTTTGCTGCACGGCCCTCTACTGCCAACAGTGCCCACTACATCTGTATTTTGGACGTGGTGGGTCACCCATCAAAGCACTTGCCAGGCTCAACTCAGCTTAACTTCCGAGGCCTGACAGGATTGGGCACATTCTGGGTGACTTGGTCAAATGCCATCATATTGTGATCAAAAGATAAATGGGCCTCCTCCACTTGAGTGAACTATAGAGGGCTTTGACCATTACATGACCATGGCGACTCCCTTTCGTATTGTATCGTGAAAAATGATTTTGCGGTAACCCTACTACAGTCATGCAAAATGGATTTTTTGTCAGATCGCATAAGTAAAATGTTGCGTTGTAATCCCTCCTCAACCCGATGCCGCCAATTGACAAAGTGTTGTCAAGTGAAAAAACGTGAGTTCTTATTTCTACTTCAGCAGCACTACTGGTGTGTTGTTGTTGGAGAGCAATCAACATAACATTTAACAATTGAGTAGTATGACGTTTCCCTGGTATTCTTAGTTCTTTCGGTAAAGTCACGTTGACTTTACCGAAAGAACTAAGAATATGAATTACTGCAGTCAAGAAAGCTTTAAATCAAAGTTTCCCTGGTAGTTAAAACCAGCATCATCGGGCAGTTGCCAGATATCTGACACATTTCACTTTTGCCATCTGATCCTAAATACCTTTGTGAATGGCAATATTGGTCACGAAAGCCTACGTATAATAACCCGACTGCGGTAAAAGTTTATCCGCTAATACCTCGTTTCCCCATTGCCCCGCAACCACCCCCCGCTCCCTCCTCCCCACCGCCGCTTGTGGTAGGCATTTGGGCAGGTGTGCACGAAGCAGCGGCGCGTGGCGGAGGACGGGGAGAGCCGCGAGGAGAGCCTGCTGCGGGAGAACGCCTCCAACGAGGCGGCGCACCATGCGCAGGCGCTGGAGATGAGCTCCGAGCTCAAGGCTAACCGCGCGGCGCTCTCCAACACGCTGAGCGAGAACGAGCGCCTCGCCGCCGTGTTCGTCGAGCAGCGAGAGGTAGCACTCGCTCCGCCCGCCCCCACCCCCCACCCGCCCGCCGCACCGTTATGACCACCACGCGTTTGTACCCGCCACACGGTTGTCCTGTGGTAATGTCAGCCCCGACCTGCGATGTGTCAGAAGGAAAGGGTGATTCCAAAGTGAAAAAGCAGAGCTTGCTCGGCATATTATATGCCCAAGCCGAATACAGCTAGGCTGGCCTGATACTAAATCCTCATCCAAATTATACCGAGGCAAAGCGAACCCCGGCTCTAAACACTCTTGCCAAATAGAACCTTAGCCCCTCCACCAGCCCCCACCCCACCATGTCTCATTAAAAAACAAAGTGTTCGGCATCTCCAACCGCCCCACATGTATTATAATTCACGAATAACTGCACGAAGGAATTGTTGATTAGACAACTTATTCAATGCATGATGGAGCACATTTATAAATCATTAACTCAGCAAACTTCAATTGAATGGGGCATTTAACTAACATATCAATGAAAACATGAATAACAATGAATCAATACACGAATTATATAATAAATTAATGACCACAATCCTTAAATGAATGGATGAATGAACAAATTAACCAACGAATGAACAAATGAAATAATCAAAAATATTGACGGGCAACAAAGCGATGACTTGAGTATGAAGGTACGAACGGACGACCTGTGCTGATGAACGCATTGCGTCTCGGCGCAGAACATCGAGATTCTGGAGCTGCAACGCTCGCGCCTGCGCGACGAGATCAAGGAGTACAAGTTCCGCGAGGCGCGGCTCTTGCAGGACTACACCGAGCTGGAGGAGGAGAACATCTCGCTGCAGAAGCAGGTCTCCACGCTCAAGGAGAACCAGGTGGGCTGTGCGCGGCCGTGGATCGATCTTGGCTCGGGCTTTGCGAGTCTGCGGCGGGTCCCCTATGCAAGGTTATAGGTCTGTTGTGCGTGTCAGTGGTGACCGGCCTCAGACCATCAACATACTTTGCTTGAGAGAGCCAGGTTTAATCTCAGCTTGGTGTATGCGAGTCTCTATGCGAGTCTATGGATCTCTGTATAAATTATGGTGACTGGGCTGACTCACACAGCTCAGGCTGTGTGAGTCTGTGGGTCTCTAAACAAGTCTGGGTCTGCATATAAATAATTGGTGGCTGGTCTGAGGCCATCTACTCACTACACGGACACCAAATCCGTATCCAAGATTTAAATTGTACCAAATCGAACAAAAACTAATTAATTGACAGGTTAATTTTTTTTTAACGCCCATGGATTCAGTGTTTTGTCTGTTGACTCTACCACACCTCATTTATCATCCCTGCCCCATCGCCCCTGCCCCCTCCCCGTACATCCCATCTCAACCAGGTGGAGTTTGAGAGCGTCAAGCACGAAATAAAGCGTCTGGAGGAGGAGGTGGAGTTCCTACAGAGCCAGCTGGAGGAGTCTTTGCGTCTCAAGGAGATCGGCGAGCGCCAACTGGAGGAAGCCCTGGACGCGCTCAAGACGGAGCGGGAGCAGAAGAACGCGCTGCGCAAGGAGCTTGCCGCCAAGGGCCACGGCACCGGCGAGTCGCTCTATGCCGCCCCCGGCGGGCCCGGCGCCGCCGCTGCCGCCGTTGCCGCCGCGGTGGCGCACCTGAGCAATATCTCGCTGGACGGCCTCAAGCTCGGAGACGAGAGCAACGGCTCGTCGACTCTGGATTCCAGCGCCGGCAGCGAGGAGCTGGCCAGCAACGGGCAGTCGCACAAGCTGAACGGCGACTACGGCAAGGCGATGTACCGCAAGGCGCCGGGCCTCGTGTCGGACCTGCTCAGCGAGCTCAACATCTCCGAGGTGCAGAAGCTCAAGCAGCAGCTCATGCAGGTGCGTGGCTGGCCACGGGGGAGGGGAGGGGGTGTGGCCGGCGGCGGTGATCAAGTGATGGTGGGTCGACAGGGCAGTGGCGGTCGCTGCTGTTGTTTCAGTGAATTGTTCAGTCGGTGCCGATTACAGATACCTTTGGCGGGCAGCCACACATCAACACACAGTTTAGTCACTTCTTTGTCACTGAAAGAGGTTCTTGTTGTGGCAAAAAATTAAAAACACGGTGTTGTTTCTGGGTCAGAAATGTCCCTCTTACCCCATTAGTGTGGCGCAGGTAGTCGCAGTGATGAACAAATTTCATTTTTGGGCTGTTTTTAAGTGGTAGACATAATGTGGACCCAGATTAAATTGAATCGAGGACTGTAGGTTGTTAATCCCTACTCTACAAGATTAGAGCTCTGTGTTTTTTATTAGATTGCATTTTGATTTGTGGTTGTCGATATGGACATGAGGTGGCCTGCTTGGTCAAAGGCTTAGCATTCTGAGGCCATGGGTTCGAATCCAGGCAGTCGCCTGTGATTGACCTGGGTTCCCGAGTATAGCAAGTTGATTTTTGAAGCCCGGTAACCAGTGACTGCACAGAAGAACCATCACGTTAAATTTGATTCTGTGCTTAATTCGGCACAATTCCAGCTCTCCAAGTTAAAAACATTGACTTGATGGTCACACGATAAACCTTACAGACAGTGAGTGGGAAAGTTTAACCCTCTTACTGTGTGGACCAGAGGTCACTTGAAGGGATCTTGGAGGTAGCTCTCTATCTTCTTCTGAGGGCCGTTCTCCAACACAACGGGACTGCAGTGTCCTGCGAGAGATTAGAACGGATTCTTTGCCTCACTATTCGACGTGGGTAGCACGATCAGGATAACATTGTGGGGGGGGGGAAACATATTTTTTTAATCGAAGGGAGAGTTGGGGTTTCGGGTGGTGCTGACATTGACGTCGAGCAAGTCGTGTGTGAGCCCCTCGGCGTCGGACGCCGCTGCGGAGGCGGTGGGGTTTGTTTGTGGAACTCTCTGGAACGCCTCGGCGCTAAAGCGGAGGGATTAAGCCCTTTCCACACGGCAGCCCCGCCGTCCCCGCTATGTGTTTTCCGTTGCAAGAAGGCCGCGCGGGGTCACCCTACGTGACCGTCATTTTAATGCACACGTGTTTACCCGTGTGCCACCCTCCCCTCGCTTAACTGTAGGGGAGATTAGATCACCGTAATAACAATATATGCGAGGTTGGTGCAAACCTACAACCGCTTGCTGAAGCAACTGTTGGCAGAAAGGCTTCCACTGGAAGCTCTGCTGAGCCTCTCTAGTGGAAGGAGTTTTGGCCTACTCTTCCACGCTGGACATGCATCTTAGAAGAGAATGGGGGCGCTCGTACTTTGCACCACCACTCGAGACCTCCTGATTAACCAACTGTATATGTGAGTATGTATACAGCCCTTTGTCAGTCTGCTTCTGGATGAAGGCCTCCCTATGCCCCTTTGAACATGAGGGTTCTTTTGACCATACACCATACTTCACCACAATGCAGGTTGTTGGTGGGTGTGCCCAGGACCTGTTCAGATATCTCTCACAACTGATGTTAGCCATGACTGGAATAAAACTCAGGTGGCCAAGTTTATAGTGTAGTGTGAGCAGCACTGCTCTTGTCTGTGTATAGTCAAACCTCCTTGAAATATCAGCTCACTTGTAACAATAATGTGTTTTTTATTGTGACCTCATTCATGAAAATTACATCTTACAACCGTTGAGGAACCACAGGCAAGCTGCAAGTCAGTACTCAGGCAGTTAGCCAATGCCAACAATTGCCCAAGCTCTGCAGTCCTCTATATATTAAGATATTTTCGGCCAATTAATGACTTGTCACGTTATTTCACTAGAAACCTCATTACACAACGCTGTTGTCCTACAGCACATGCCACACACTGTTTAACGCCATCTTGAAAATACTCAGACTGCTTTGAGCAGCCGTGATGTCACTTCACACAGGAATTGCCAGTTGCTGCCACTCCACTAACGTTCATCAGCGACCTCTGATTCTCTCACAGTACGAATATTTAGAGACGAACAGCACAGGTTAACCTTGAACAACTCCCCTACAAGAGGAGGAGTTGCTTGAATAAAGGCCTCCCCAAGCCGCTGTTACGTCTCACGATTCTGCAATGCAACATTCCACCAAACGCCTGCAACACGAGCCAATTTCTTCTCTTCCATCTCCCCGGTGGACGTCCTCTCACGCACCTTCTTGCTTTAATATAAATCCCGATTGATAGCTTAAATTTATTTTTATACCAATTTTCATGTTTCTCGGTGTGTGTTTTTTGTGGCAATGGCGATGCAAGCGTGTGCGCGCTACCCTTTTTGAGTTTCGTCTGTGTAATTGAACGGGCATCGATTACGGGTGGAGGCATAATCACCACAGGTCAGCGCTGCGGGTCCTCCACAGATCAAATCACTGTCGGCCGCTCCTCCTGCTCCTGCCTCATTTATTACCGACCGTCGCACCCCCGTCGTCCCAGGTGCAAGATTTATGCTGCGGTTCAGCAAATCCTTTCCCTCTAGGGAATCCTCCGGAGTCCGGGCCAGCCGGCTATCTAGCGACGGCGACATGATCGCGGCCGCTCGGGGGAAGGGAACGAGAATTAAAACGCCGCCATCAGCAGTTACAAAATCTGATTGTTTTTTTGTCCCCGCGATTTTATCCCAATTGTATTACCGGCATCAGGTCATGCGAGGGGAGTATTTATTCAGGTTTCTCATTCGTGTTGGAATCTGATATGACAGAAATACCTCTTTAAATCCCTTCAAGTGTCCTCTGGTCAACACAGTAAAGGGTAGAATTTTCCCACCCCCTCTGCGTATTCGGGTAATATTTGTCACATGACCAGTCACACCCGATATTTTAATTCTCACAGAGCTGGAATTGATCCAAACTTTAATGTGAGCAGGTTTTGTTTTGTGTGCAGTCATTGGTTACCATCGGGCTGAGACCATCAACTCAGAGCTACACTTGAGAACCTGGTTTAATCAGACGCTGCTGGAATCCGAATTTAGACCAAAGGATCTCAGCAGGGCTGGCTCGGCATTTCTGGCCACTGCACGGAATCACACATTTCCATTAGAAGAAAGGTGCGACGTGTTGACGAGTGAAAAGAAAAACACGCCACCCAGCGCGGTTACTCCGTTCATTTTTTCCCGCTACGAGTGGAAACTGATTTTATTTTATTTGTGCCAAAGTCAGAGTAAATATTGCAGCATGCAGCAGTATTGAAGCACTGCCGCTGCTCCTGCTTTGCGAATAATAAAACAGCAGATATAAATAGCCAAAGTCAAAGGGGCATTCTGAGTAAACTATCACGGCCGCTAGCGCCGCTCGTATTGTTACGTGACCGTTGCTGAGCCCACGATGGTCACCGTTTGTTGTGAGCGATCCCCACCAGCTCGTCGCTTCCTGAGATTATGAATGATTAAGCAGAGCATGCGTTGTTATTCCAAGTGGCTCAGCGGTAGAGCAAGCGGCCCGCAATCGGAGGACTGTGAATTCAAATCCTGGTTGGTGGCTTTGATTCAGCTCATCATCCCTCTCGTGGTCCATGAATTGAGTTCCGCTCTGCGTAGAAGTCAACAGTGGTTGTCCTGAGGGTAGGGGATACCGCGATGTTAATTACCTCGCCTGATATGCAGGAGGTCGTGGGTTCGATCCCGACCCTGACGCTGTATATTTGGAATTAGCCTGTTCTCCCTCTTGTGGTGTGGATTATTCTCCGGGTCCTCCGGTTTTTCAATTCACATTTATAATCATGCATTTAGAGTAGTTGGCTGCAATTAATTTCCACATGCTAAGCCACTTCGTTGAGCTATCATTTGTGGCCAGGTCGCTTCTGAAAAAGAGCTATATAGCTCAGTGGTCCTTACCTAGTAAAATAAAAAGTTTAGTTTCAACTCACCCCTTCCATAGGAATGTGGAATTTTCACAACTGGCTTCTTTAGGGCTGTAAACGGATGATGAGCACCAATGCCCAAGTGCTCATTTGAGCAGGAAGTCGGTCTCTCTTAATGACTTTTTTATGTGTTACGTGTGATCACGGATTTAGAGGATGCGCAATACCCAAACAGCTGTGCTTAGATAATCTGCAATGCGATTGCACTGATGGCGTTTCGTATTTGCGGTGGTATTGGCGTCGCCGCTCATGAAAAATGTAGATCCCTGTGTCGAGTCTGTTGAGTGCTTTTGAGTGCATTCACACTGTCCAGAGATTGTAACCTCTGTTAAAGGACTGCAATGATTTGCCACTCCCTCCCCCTTGCATGGGAATCCTCCAGTTTCATTCTGTTCGTGTTTATAAGGCACATTTATGCCAGTCGGTTTATTTGTTTATTCAGGAAGGCCTCGGTGCATTTCAAGATTTTCAGGACGATTCCTGCTTCAAAATGTTTGATCGATTGCTCTTCAATGGGTGTTTTGCTGCATGTGGGAGGAAACCAGACTACCCAGAGAAAACTTACCATGTGTACGAGGGGATCACCCTCAAAGGTCCGCAGGGATGGGTTCCCGAACCCACTTCCTGTACTGTCGTCCCCTTGCCACCATATCACAGCTCCAGCTGGTTTTGGACTTTCACAATTTCTGTGTGATCCATCGACCTTCGCCCTAAAATCGCTGGATCACAGGCATCTATAGCGATGAGCTATTAAGCTCTTTTTCACAGACGTCCAGAAGATGAGAAACGGCGCAGCCAAAAACCACAGGGCACATCGTGCAAAAGCGCCCGACGCTCGGCCCATTCTCTGGTGGAATCTCAGACGTTCGCAATACCGCTCCCGTAGCCCTCAACGGGCTCACGACCAACATAGACATAGAACCCTTGCCAATCAACCTGCCACACGGAAGGAGAGGAATTGCGATGTGCTGCATAAAATCTAAATTGGCCGCTCTGGATCAACCTTCTCGGCGCACGGCATACGCTCCTTCCCCCGTGCAGTGGCCCGCATGTAGGGTTTAATGAGCAGGGCAATGAGGATTTATTCTGTCGGCAGTGACCCCTGCAGCCCCGCCTCGTGCGGCTGTGGAAAGGCGGGGATTGAAGGCAGCGCCGGCTCGGCGGCGGTTACAGCGTTCTGCCGAGAGGGCGAACGATCTCCCGACTGTCGCATGGGTCACGGCCGAATTCCTCCATCGAGATCGTTCGCTGCCGTCTAAAGGGAGGACAGGAAGTATTTTTGTTTATTTTAATTAAAAATGAACGAGGAGCTGGCATGCCTGTCTGTTAAGGGGGGGGTGCTTCAGAGGGGAGAGGTGGCCGGGTGGCTTCAAGGGTCAGAATTCTGGGCTGGCACCGCTGAGATCGTGGGTTTTGAGGTCGGGGGCGACCAATGTTGATTAAACTGGGTTCTCAAGTGCCGTGTTGAAAACGATACAAATATAAGATAAAAGAGAAAGGTAGTCTGCGTTTCTTCGGAGATTTGAAGGCACGAAAAAAACCTGGAATCAGCAGCGCCTGGGCTGCGTTAATAAATAACTGAAATTCATAGGAGCGACACTCAAACATGACTGCAATAGCACGCCTGCGGTAGTAACCGGTGCAATGAAATATTATTTTGAAGATGTTTTTACCACAAAAGGGATAAGAACATAACTTTTCCTAGTTTCTGTAGGCCATTGTTTAGTGCATGTTGGCAAATACCTAGTGCCGTTTTGAACATATTGCGCCTAAACTCTGCAGCTTGCACTGGCTACCGGTCGACTTCTGCATCAAAATTCAAGGTTACTCTCCGAACCTACAAAGCACTGCATAGTTTGGCCCCTTTCTACCTGAAAAATGGCATCTCCCATCATCGGGCACATACAATACAATCTGTTCAACTGGAAGGGCAAGACTTGCCCAGCTCACGATTTTTCACCCGACGCTGGGGGGCGGCTTTGTCGAGCGCAGCCCCAAAGATTTGGAACACGCCCACTGCCACCAGACATCCGAAGCGCGCAGATTGTCTCTCGGTGCCATTGTCCATGCAAGAGACATCTTTTCACACTTTCCTGCCCATAAAATCTAAAATAAAACGAACTGCTTCTTTACTTAATTGTTTTATTTACTACTTACCTTTTTTATGCAACTCGTTGCGCACGGTTGCACTTTATTTGGCGCGTGGCAGTAATTTACTTTGCACAGTCGGTGTTAGCTGCTGAGGTCGTGACAGGTTTCATTCCGGTTGCTCAATGCCCCCCGTACCGTTCCCATTGTGCTGTAATGGGCACTGACGCTCCCTTTATTGGGGTGATATTGGCACGTAAAATAAAAGACTGATTAATTGGTCATGCCTGTAGGCGAGTGCCTGGTGCCTGATGGCCAGTGCCGTGTCCCTGCAGTTTTTTAAGCATTGCAAGTGGCTGATGTTTTTCACAAGATCCCAAGCACACGCCCTTCAGAGCAAATGGTCTTCTATGTGCTATGACAAAGGGCCATTGCCTGGAATGTCGCATCTTGTAAATATGTTTTCATTTGAAGTCTGCTGAGTTATTGACGAATGTGCCAGGTTTTTTTGTTGTTCGTGCTTATGCACCACTGCCACACACACACAAAAGAACATGATATTTCTGCGATAGTTACTACATTGCTCATTGCGAAGGCCACATCATGTTATATTCGTCCATCCTCTTGGTTCCACCACCACCAGGACATCGTTCGAGTGCTATGATGGCACCACCCAGAATATACCACTTTATATTCCTTTCCTTTTCATTACGAGTGATTCTTCAATATCATGTTGGTTTGTTTAAATTTGCAAGTTGATTTTGTTTAGCCAGATGAGAACGCAAGAGACTAGGATGAGTCATTTTGCAAGAGTGGCCAACAGTGGCCTGGGTCACCAAAATGTCAATAGAAAAAAACAAGCATTAGTTTGTTTGACTGTTATCTCTCATGCGCAGGTGGGAAAACATACTTGCCCGTAGGACTTATCCGAACCACTACTTAATTTTGTATGACCTCCAACCACATGGGACTGACCAATTCAAAACGGACCCACAAAAGATATTCATCCGTCCATGCAAGCATCTTGGTAGCACTAATCAGATACTGGAGGGTGAAATGTTTGAACCTGGAAACAACACTGCGTTTCTAATTATAGCGGCCTTCATCACTTCTGTCGCTCCATGCGGCCTCTCGCAGTCACGTCAGTGGCTGAGCTGTGCGCATTAACGTGTGGTTGCCCACCAATGGTATTTGAAAGTCCTCCTTCGGTAAGGGATAGGTTCGCCACTCCTGCTTCAGTGGATCAGCTGATAAAGTCGTTCAGTGGATGATGGCTCGTGTGTGTGCGCGCATGTGCGTGCTCGCGACAGGTGGAGCGGGAGAAGGCGGCGCTGCTCGTCACGTTGCAGGAAGCGCAGCGGCAGCTGGACCACATGAAGGGGGCGCTGTCAGAGCAGCGCGAGCGCATCGCGCGCCTCTCCGAGCACTTGGGCACCATGAAGCAGCTGCAGGCACGGGCGCAGCGTGGGCGTGAGCCGTCGCAATCTGGTACGGTCACGCAATGATCGCCAGCTCCATCACTTAATCGCTCACTCGATCACCCAGTTTCATCTCGATCTTGCTGTCGGTGACACTCTTGAGACTCATCCTTGTCTTTTGAGTTCTCACCCGGTTAAACAAAATCAACTTGACATGACTTGGAGTCATGTAATCGAACACTGCCGGCTCAGTTCTGTAAGCAAGAGATCAGCACCACCTTGTCTTGATGCTCAATTGAGCAGGAAATCACATTGACAGTTTTAGTTTTCATACCATACTGAACTTACAAAATCCCTGCTTTTAAGACACGCAGCAAATTCCATCGCTGCATTCGCACTCATCACTGGGCTGCCGTGTGCCTTTCGAACACTGTCGCAGGAGCCACCAAGGACGAGCGGGATGGAGCCGTGGAGGAAGGCGATGGATACTACGAGGTGGACATTAACGGGCCAGAGATCCTGGAGTGCAAGTACCAGGTTGCGGTTATGGAGGTCAGCGACCTGCGCAGTGAGCTCAAGGTGAGTCGGTCAGTTAGGCTTTGTGTTTTTTTGCCACTGTTTATATGTCAATTGCGCTACTGGCATCTTATTGAACAAGAAATTTGCATTTGGAATCAACCATCAAGGTGATGTCACAGAACTCCTTCTGAGATCTGTTCAAGTGGCATCTGGTCCACTTAGTAGAGGGTAGCATATATCCAACCGCTCTATCCTTGAGAACAATGTTTGTCACTTGATAATAACCAAATTAAGTGCGGAACCAATTTAATGTGATTTTTTTCTGCCATCTGGGATGGTGCTGTGGTGTTAACGGTCACCTCACTGGACCCGCAATTTGTAGATCGCCGGTTCATTTGGATCTCCCGGCGCGGCAGTTGAAGCTATGGGCTAATTTTTTTAATGCGCCCCCCCCCCCATCCAACTATCAGCATACAACCACAGTTAGTTGACCAGAAGGCCGCTTGTGGTGGGGTGAAGTGTGGGTAATCCCACCTCTTCTAAGAACGTTTGGCCAGCATGGAAGTGTAGACCAATTGCCCTCTCGTGGGGCTTGGATTCCACCACCATGACCCCCGATGGGGCATAACGGCCAGCGTCGGTCCTGCGGTGTAAGGAGGCATTACTGGTCATGCTAATTTTTATGCATTGGCTTTTCCTGTTTTGTCATTATTCGCTTTTATCATAGAGTGTTCTTCATTTTATTGGCATTTCGAGTGGAATTGTCGTTGATATTGTTATTATCAGCTTTCTATTTCGCTTAGATTCTATCTATACTTGTGAGTGTAGTTTTTATTTTTACGTACAGCGCTTGGAGATATTTCGATATGAAAGGCACTTTATAAAATAGAGGTTATTATTATTAATCAATGCACGTCTAGTTGGGGGCTCTTCTGCCAACAGTGGCGTGATCAAGCAATTGCAAGACTGCACCTATACCTTTCGTCTTTGTGTGCCGCCGCCGATGGCGACGACAAAGGTGACGAGAGAGCAGTGCACGGAGGTGAAGGAGCGCTGCGTCGAGGACAAGGCCAAGTTCGAGGCGGAGCTGGAGCTGCTGAGCGAGCAGACGACGTCGCTTAAGGAGGCGAACCGAGCGAGCGGAGAGAAGATCTCCGCCCTGGAGAAGGAGCTCAAGGTAGCGGCCGCGACACGACCCGGATACGCAAGCCCTACCCGCTTATGTTTTCGCAGTGCGACGGCGTTCTGGGGTTGCGCCTTGTGTCGTTTGTTTGGCACGGTGTCCTCGGATGTGTCCCCGCGTGGGGGGGGGGGGAACCTCACAAGGAGTTGTAGAAAGTCATTGGCATCTCTTTTGATGATCGTCGATGCGATGACTCGACTCATCAGGTAACACGAAACTCGCTGGGGGAGAAAACAAAAAAATAAATAGGTAAATATGGCAGTTGTTGTGGTTTTTCAACAAAATAGAGGAATGTTGAAAAACAGGCACATTTTTGGACAATTTATCTGCGAGGTTTTCGCAGGAGATTGCATCCAACATCATCAGCTCTTAACTAAATCTCAGCACTCCTTGAGTGAAAAAGCTTGCTGATCTGGGTCCTGAAGTAGGTTCCATGACATCAAAAGGACAGTTGTGCAGGTTAAGAAATATTAATAATTTGCGTTGAATGCTGGTTGATTTGGTGTGATTGGCATTATACCTACACTGTCTTACGCAAAATAAACTAGTTATGAATCATAATATTTGTTGTTAAGGCCTGCATATAAGAGACGGCAATTCTTGGCGCCGATTTAGTGACGCGATCGACTGGATTTCCCTGCACAAGGTTACGAATAAAACGAGCCGAGCCCTCTTGCCAGGTGAGAGCTCGGATTGCAGGTCTGGGCACCCGCTGTGATTTTTATTCCCCCCGCCCCACCCCGGTGGTATTTAAATTATTTAATTTATTTTAATCTCTCCTAAGGGAGCGGGAGTGTGGGTACAAAACCTTCCTGGTCGAACACAGGTGCATGAATTTTTAAAGTTGAGAACCAGCAAGTCGAGAGATGGAACGGACCCAGAGGTTATTGTGTCTCTGCAGAATGGGTGGTGGTGGTCGTGTGAGTGTGTGTATATATTTGTCTGTGTATGTCTCTGTGGAGCAGCATTGTAGTTGTGAGTAGCTTGCTACATTACGAACCCAGTTACCCAAGTTCGATTCCTGCTCATGGCCAACATCAGTGACGATTATCTGAATCGATCCTGGGCCTCCCGTAGGTCAAATTAGTACCTGATGCAGTGTGTAAACATCGCCACTTGAGAAACAAAGGCAGTTTGGCGTGGAGCTGACCACCCATCTCCTCGTGTGCCCTGCCAGCCTTAGGTGTTCGTAACAGCACTTGCCCCAAAATTCTGTGAAGCCTATACGGGGTTTTTTTTGTCTTTGTGTATGCCATATGTATCTGCGTCTCTTTATGTATACACAAATGAAGTACGCACCGCCTTACTGTGAGTCCCAATGTACCGATCCTCCAAATAAACCTCATTACCTCTGCCTCCCCTCCTCTCCTCCTTCCCCTCCTTCTCCCCCCCCTCCTCGCTGTTGTGCTGCCAGCGCGCAACCAAGACAGCGACGGAGAGCCAGGGCGGCCTTAATGTGGCACAGGAGGAACTGCTGTCGCTCAGCGAGGAGCTGGCGACGCTCTACCACCACGTGTGCATGTGCAACAACGAGACGCCCAACCGCGTCACGCTCGACTTCCACCGGCAGAGCCGCGGCTCGCGCGGCGGCGGCGGCGGCGGCGCCGGCAGCGGATCGGCGGCGGCGGCGACCGCCACCAAGATGGCACGCATAACACGCATGCTCTTAGCAATCCAACACCTCCGTAGACTTCAGAGCCAGTCCGGGGCCACAGGAGCCGCTCCCGAGCTGGCACGCGTAACGCACAACACGGCACTGACTAACTCCCCTCCCACCCCCCCGCACGCACGCACGCACGCACCTGCACGTCACTCGCTCACTCGCTCGCGCACTCACTCGCTTAGTCGCTCACTCACGGGCCACGCAGTGTCCGGCCCTGCACTCGCTTTCTGCGTGTGTGTGTGTGTATCACTGCCTACATCTCTCTTGGCTTGCCTTTCTTCTCGTGCTGTTTATGCATTGGGTTTGTTTACTGGAAGTGCAGGACATAACTGAAAAATTGGAAACTGTTTTTTTTACTTGTGATTTCCAATCTTATGTAAAATGTCAGTGCAGACGGGCGTGTAGGCTGATGGGGATAGTAGTGTAGTAGGAGAATCTCGTTCCTTTGAATACCGGAGTATTTCAGGACGCTGTAGAGAGCCATTCGCGTACACATGAGCGGGATTGTTTCAAAGAAATGTGTCCGTCTCTGACACGTGGCCTAGCACGATGAAATGGTCGGTGGAGCCACCGCACTGGCAGCTCTCCCTCCCACCACCCTGCCCGGCCTTCAACCTCACCATTCAGCTGGTTGTGATTTAAGCCCATCCAGTAACAATAATGATAAAACGCAAGTAGATTTTGACAGATTGGGACATTACCGCAATGAACTGCACTACAGAAGCTGCCACATCTGTCACTGTAGTTGTGATGGTAACTGAAGCTGAATAAATAACAGGTACTTACCCATCCACTGCTGGATGAAGGCTCCAAGATCTGAGCATTGCGGGGTAGGGCAGAGGATAATGAGCATCCTCCCACTAAGCGAGCTTTAACTGGGGGAATTGGCGCCGCACCGTCTCAACGAACGATTGACCCCATGCTTTAAATTTCCAACAGCAGTTGCCGCACCAGGGACCACCGCTGATTGCGCGTGTGCGACATCTCCGCTATGCCCTCCCGCCCCCTGCCAGGCCGCCGACGGCAAGTGCTCACCGCTGCTGCCTCACAAAGCGGTGAAGCCGCACGAGGGAGGAAGTGGTGGCTCGGAGCCAACTGCGGCCACACCGTCGGGTGGCAGGGAAGGAGGAAAGGGCAGCACAGCGCCGGCCGCCGCTGCTGCCGCAACCATCGCCACGCCGTGCTGCCCCGTGTCGGAGACGATCGCCGATGGGCCTGGTGAGTCGCGGCAAACTCATGTCGCCACTCACCTGACGCTCACCACCTCCTCCGATGCCTCCGGCTTCACCCCGCTCATCTTCATCCTATCGACCTCCAAGGCCTCTTCCTCGCCCCTTCACTTCCTCGCCCTCACTGTGCTTCCCCTTCCACCAACTCGTATTGCCACACAACGGTTCACCAATCAAACCTCTGCCTCCTCGTCGTCATTGTCCTCCCGCCACCGGCGCCGGCGTTTCTTATACGAGCGCGCCCGCGCCGAACGCGCTTGCGTTTCCGCAGGCGTGGAGCCCCTGCGACGGGAGGCCATGACGGTGGACAGCCTGGTGGGGATGATCCGCGACCAGCTGCGGCACCTGCAGCGCGCCGTGGAGCGCGCCGCCGAGCTGAGCCTGCAGCGCGCCGCCGCGCACGAGCTGGCGCCCACGTGCGACCGCGACAAGGAGGCCCTAGTCGAGGAGATGCTCAAGCTTAAGTCGCTGCTGAGTACCAAGCGCGAGCAGATCGCCACTCTGCGAACCGTGCTCAAGGCCAACAAGCAGGTGGGCTCGCCAAACTTTTGTTGTTGCTGGTGGTTGCCCAGGTAGTGTTGGTGGTGGTTTGTTGGTTGGTTGGTTGGGTGGTTGTGGTTGGCCAGGTGCTGGTGGTGACTCTTGCTGGGTGTGTGAGTGGCACTGCAGGGACAATGTCATGAGATAAATTATGTCGTGGCTGAGAGCATATTTCCTTAATGGTGGAGTCGGCAGCCAGGCCTGAGCATTAAAAGCATGCTGACTGAGCAAAGTATTTATCACCACTTAAAAATTATCATCTGGTAATAATCCTGTCCGTTTGTCCATTTCTCATCCGTTGCATGATGTGCGTGTGTCTATGTTTCGCCCATTGTAACCGCGCTTTGTGACGCATCCGCGAATTTTAGTAAAAACTGTACAGTTGTCCGTACTTATAACTTTTAATCACCCTCTTTCAGCTTTGCGACCTGGTTATCGGTCACCCTGATCACCCACCCCCTCAAGGCTATAATAAACTCAGGCAATTCCAGGCAATTGTTGCCAACGATCATGGCCAGCATTCGTTCTAAAAATAAAAGAACAATTATAATATACCCAAAATGGAGGCTCCTCTGATCCCTGCTTTTACATGCGGACAACCAGAAATAATGCTTCCAATCAGATCACAGATAACATGATTACCCAAGACTTGATTCGAAGCTTTCGTGACTGCAAGAATTACTCTTTGTTTTTTTCGGTAAAGTCACGTATAAAAATATATATATATATATATAAAACCGGATGTCTGGGTGGCCACCTTTTAAAAGTAATTGACAACAACGAAAACGTAGTCTATTACAATTTCTGTTCGGTGAATCGGCTGTACGTCCCGGTTGTCGTTAACCGTATTGGTGGTTGTCGCCACCGAGCAGACGGCGGAGGTGGCGCTGGCGAACCTGAAGAGCAAGTACGACAACGAGAAGTCGATGGTGACGGAGACGATGATGAAGCTGCGCAACGAGCTGAAGGCACTCAAGGAGGACGCCGCCACCTTCTCCTCGTTACGCGCCATGTTCGCCACGAGGTAACCCTCACACAGAGTTGCCCCTTCCCTGCCCTCGCACCTTCCCTCTCCACCCGGTCCCGCCCTTTCCCTGGCCTTATTTATGCTGACTGGCCCGGCCTGTCTCGGCCACCGCTCAGTACTGTAGAGCCAAACACTTTGACTGGAGCCCTGAAGCTAGCACTGCAGCCGATCTGTGGCTCTGAACCAATTCTATCCAAAACCCTATCCATACCCATCTGCTTTCTTTCGTAATTAATTATTGAGTTGAATCGTGAAAATTCATGGAATTGCTCTGGGACGCGGTGAAAGAGTGCTGCTCCCCAGTGTGGCTGGTGGGGTCACTTGAAGCGATTTCTGAAGCAGTTCCATTTTATCTTCTTCCACGGACCGGTTCTCCGCACCTCTGTGCGAGGGATCCGAATGGATTCATCGTCTCGTGCCATGTCGCCAATGGCACGATGGAGAACAATCTTGGCGAAAAAACACAAATAAATTTTTTTAAGACAATTTAGATTTGCGTTCAACTGAAGTCCTGAAACCTTCTGGTTGGTCCAAGCTTCTGCGAGATGACAGCCAGAGCGGGAGAGGACATCGATCACGCCGTCGGCTCCCCCCCCCCGCCCTCCCGGCCGTTACTCCTGCCACCGCGCCGCGTGTCTCGGAGCCCTAATGCGCCTGGCGACCAGCTGGCCGTGGCTGTTAAATGGAACCGCTGACAGTTCCCTGCCAACAGTTTTGTTCACTTGGAATGAAGAGCCACGGTGTGACCGTGATTCGCTGCTTCTCTCTCAGTGACCACGAAACCAGCTGTGGAAATTCTATATTCCTTTGGCGAGCGTCGGTATACATCCTAATGTCACTTAAAAGCAACCGCTCATGGTGTCCCTGCCAATATATTTACTTGACTTCAGAGCTAAGAATGTTTGAAGGAGTGTGGGGCGATGCCACCCTTTGTGGGTGTCCCTGAGCTTCTTTCTGTTAGTCCATTGCTCCCTTGGCCCTTGTGGCATGGCCGTTTCCTTTACCGGCATCTCCTTGGAGCGGTCTCTGCACTTAATGGAGCGGTCTCTGCACTTAATCCAGCAGTCGATTGACAAAGAGGCTGTATGTAATGGTGACGATCTTGTTTTGACCCATGGACGTTACACGTGAACCGAGATTCAAAACTCAGCGAGTCTCCCTGCAAAAGCGAGCGTCAGGAAGTGTCGCACGTCTTCATTTAGTGGCTATAGGTGAGGTGGCGGAAATTCTGCATTCCTATGGCCGGGGACCAGCATATGCTTGAATGCACCTGACAGGCTGCTGGCCATGGCTTTAAAGCACCATTAACGCCGTCCTTGGCAAAGTTTTAAATTGACCGCGAGTCTTTCCACTCCTCTTTGTTGGTTGGCCCCCTTAGCTATGTTTCTGGATCTTGAGCCACCCGTTCCACGGTGACAGCCGCTGTTGTTGACTTGGCATGTCTTGGAAGAGAGGGTGTGTTGAGCCTTAATCGGACGTAGTTGGCTTATTCGGTTGAAGTTGGGCTGCAGGTATCTGTGTGCTGCTGCTGCGTCTGCTGTTGCATGGTCCGGTTACATTTTGTGCACCTCGCTATGCGGTGAATTGTCACGATTTGGGTGTCGCGATTGGATTCGAAATGCGAGTCCCTTTTTGTCTCATTTTTATCGTCTCGTTTGTGTTGTTGCATCTCCTGCTTTCTTTTTCCTTTCTCATTAGTAGTTTTAATTTTTTTGCTTCATTTTTATCATTCGCATACAGTTTTTACAAATTGTAAATATGTTTTCACGTGCACGACTCGATGCATTGTATCATGAACGTAAGAATCTTCTTTTATCCATGGATGGACGATACACGCCGAGAATTTGGTATACGGCTCTTATATAATTAGATTTTTTTACACGGATGATCCCATTTATACAGTTTCACGGCTATTTAACTCGGGGGGGAACTACGATGCGTGATCACAGCAGCGCAAAGCTGCAGGCGTTGTGCCGTTGTCCATCATGGTAGCGTGCCTGTTTGACGCTTGGCAGAAACGCTGGGCGGGCCCGGTGAGTTAGCTTGGGACCTCCGAACACGCCCGCTGTCGGTGCCTGTCGGAATAACTCGAGCCTGCATTGTTTCTCCATGTGGTGCGTGTGGCCTGCGCGTGCACACTCCACCCACTGCCACCCGCGCCGCCCCCGCGCACGTTTTTCGCGAGCATCCCATCTTCCGCGAGCTTGCGGCGAGCGCGCGTAGGTCCGCGTGTCGCCCCCCCATCCCGCCCGGGTCTCCGATCATCTCGAACGCGCGCTTGCGCTTCGCTTGCTCACATGCTCGCGTGTGCGTGTGTCTGTGCGCGTGCGTGTGTGCGCGCGTGCGTGTACGTGCGTTTGTGTACGCGTGCGCGTACGCCCGACCACCCGCTTGCTTGCCTGCCTGCACCCGCCCCCCCGACCTCCCTATCCCCCCCCCCCCCCCTCCGACTCCCGCCTTCACCCCCACGGCGTGACGACAGGTGCGACGAGTACGTGTCGCAGCTGGACGAGATGCAGCGGCAGCTGGCGGCCGCCGAGGATGAGAAGAAGACCCTGAACTCGCTGCTGCGCGCGGCGATCCAGCAGAAGCTGGCGCTCACGCAGCGCCTCGAGGACCTCGAGTTTGACCACGAGCAGACACGGCGCGGGAAGCCGCGCGCCGGCGTGCGCGCCAAGGCCCCCCCCAACCCCAAAGTAAGTCAGAGGCACGGCGCCACGGCCGACGGTGTCACCGCCGCCGTGCAGGCCATGTTTGACGCGTCGGCCATCGACGGGGCAGCGGTGGTGGCCGCGATGGCGGCGGCTGAGTGCGGAGCGGTGCAAGCGGCGACGGCTGGTGGCAGAGGACGGCCGCCGGCCCAGTCAAGGCCCAACGAAGGAAAAAACGCACGAAACAATACGAAAGTGGAGAACTCTTGAGTTTTATTTATTTTAGTTTACGTCCTTTTATTTTGCCTTTTCGGTGAAGTGTACATAGAGTGGCGGCGAATATATTGTGGCGCGTCAGAGTGTGCGGGTCGCGCGGGTGACCAATGTGCTCGCACCCGCCATGTTTGTTAAGTAAAACGTTTGAAGGTCACCTCGCGGACTGTGCCTTTCTTCCCCGAACCGCAAACACCCTGCAGAAGTTCCACGTACGTAAGTTCTACTCTTAATGCATCCCCAAGGCCGCAGGGGAGTACTTTTTGAGAAATAACTTGAAATTAACGCCTTTTTTTTTACGACAACTGCACAGTTGTATTCCATTGTATTTTTTGCAGTTTCATAGTGTTGAAAATTAAATTACCGGAAAAAGACGATTAAGTTGTGCCTTAACGGAGTTTGGCATTCTGCAGTCACCGGCACAAGGGTGGAAGGGTGAGGAGGCCGGAGGCCGGAGGCCGCTTGGCCGATGAATTATTTGGACAATTTAACGATTGCCTCTGTCGTCGATGATCTGGGATCGCGAGCCGGCCACACAGCGAGCGACTCACTCACCCTGTTAACGCGCGATCGCTTCCACTTAACCCTCCTCGTGGCCTGCACCGACCGCGATTTCTAACCAAATTAATGCAGTGACGCCGCCGCTCGGCGGCCGCTTTTAACCTAGGCGGCACACTCCACTGGCGCGCCAGCGTGTTTCAGCAGCAGCGAGTGGCTTTTGCAGTGGCGGCGTTTCACATGGGGGAATTTTAACCATGCTGACCCAGCCTTTTCCGCACGCCGAGTCTAAATTTGGCCCGCGTGATGCGGAGTTGCAACCGCCCCCCTCCTCCGTGCCCACTCCCTCCTCCCCCCGCTCCCACCCCCTCATCTGCCTCCGCGTTATTAGGTGTCCTCTTTGTGGAGGTTGAGTTAACGATGGAGTGGAGTCCAGCTCAGAGGGGAGAAACAGAAGACAGACAGGCTGGGATCAGCCGAGAGAGATAGCAGGCAGCCAGAGTAATAAGTGGCCGAGTGAGTGGGAGACTGGCTGGTTGGGTGAATGGCTGGGTGGGTGGGTGGGCAGGTTGCTCATGTGTTTTAGTGGTTGTGTAGTACAATCGATGGGGGGGTTGGCTGGTGAGGATCTGAGGGGGTGAGTGACTGCTGCTCAGGTAGCTAAGCGATAAGCTAGGTGAATGGCTAGATAATCGATTGGCTGGGTGGAAGGCTGAATGCGTGTCTGGATTGGTTAACTGGCTGTTTGGGTGATTAACTGCGTTATTGATTGGATAGGTGGCTGGGTTGGTGGCTGAATGTTTAGCTCTGTGTTTGGGTTACCAATTGGCTGGGCAATTGTGTCGTCAGGGTTATTGGCTGGGTGGGGAACTGGATTGGTGGCTGAATGATTAACTTCGTTATTGGCTGTGTTATTAGTTGGCTGTCTGATTGGCTGGGTGGAGTGGGTGGTTGGGTTACTGGTTGAAACATTTGCATAAATGATTGGCTGTGTTATTAGTTGGCTAGGCTATTGATTGGCTGCCTGATTGGTGGGGTGGTGTAAGCAAGCAGCAACATAATTTTCCCGCAATCTCTTTGTGCACTGCCGTGCAGCGTGGCAAGAATTTCCGGCACGCTTCAGCGACAAACACTGCAGACGCAGGCCCCATGTGGCAATCCGTCCTTCTGGCCATTGCCCCAGGGAGTGGGTGGGGAGAGGAGAGAGGTCCCACAGGTCACCCCCTCCTCCCACTGGCGCTCCCCCTTTCCCCTCACAATGCAGCTGTTGTCTCCCCCCCCTACCCGCCCCGCCGCGTTGTGCTGTCGCGTTGGGTGAGCGCCACCTCGCGTCGGCATCTAATCGCCCGTCTCTTAATGGACTCTACGTAGATTGTGAGCAGTCTTATCCAACCCTGTCGCCACAGTGCAGCACAGCAGTAGAGAAGAGGCCGTCTCCCAGTAACTACAGGTAAAGGAACACGACTGCGGGGGGTGGTGGGGAGGAGTGGGATAGCATTTGATTAAACAAAACACAATTGGGGGGTATTGGTAATGTCATTATGGGGAAAGATAAGTAAAGAAAAATGGGTTCATGCAGAATCGCCGCTGGGGTTGATACTGTTTGCTGGGACGGGGCCGACCGGCACTGGAGGTCACGGTGCACGGGGCCGACGTGCAATGCGGTGTTCGGCGCAGTGCGGCGTGCGGCGGCCCGAGAACCGCCGTGCGTTATTTCTTCGCGGGCACGTGTGCTCTCGCCGCTTCGTAAATATAGCGGCGAGCGCACGGTGGCGGCGATCTTGTGTGCGTGTGGCCCGCGCGTTATATTTACACGCGTTTTTAAAAATAAGAGAAATTAACCTCGCGCGCTCGGCCGCCTGCACTTGCACCGCCGGTCTATTTCGACCTCCCTGTATCCAGGGTCACAGTTTGCACACGGGTTCCCAGTGCCGAGTCACGTTGCCCCCACGTTGCTTTCCCGCGTTGATCAGCTCCGTCCATTTCACCGTTTCGCTTTCCGCCACCGCCATTCCCCAACCCCCACGCCCCCCACCTTTGCATCAGGCCCTTGACGTGGATCATTCCGCCATGGACGGCACCGCAACATCGGTCGCCGTCGATAAACCGCGCTGACGACGGCGCGAGCAGGGCCGCGAGCCGGCCGCTCGCCCGGCACGCGGCAGTGAGCGCGACCGGGAGACACGAGACGTAACGCGCGACTCGGCCAGAGTGTGGCGCGGGCGGATTGTCGGCACGGCGGAGTGTCGGCGTCGGTCGCGCGGCAACCCCCAGGCGAAGGCGGGGGCGGGCTCCCGCGCGACCGGCGCCAGACGGCTAAAGCCATCGTGGCACTCGCCGTGCGACGCCGTTCACGCGGCACAACTCACGCGGCACAACTCACGCGGCACAACTCACGCGGCACAACTCACGCGGCACACTCGACTCCGGGCACGGCTTTGGCGCGGTTCGCGTGGCGCCCCGACCGTGGCGCTTGGCGTGCCGCACCTCATGGCTGTGCATGCCGCTTACTGCATGCATGGTCTGGCAGCTACTGCGCGAGCAGACAGACGTTCCTGCAGCTGTGAACACGTGAGCGGTGCGACCACAGGTGACGTCGTTGACCACAGGTGACGTCGTTGACCACAGGTGATGATGTTTCGGTCCTTGCGGTGCCCACATGCTCACTGGGAAATTGGAAAGGAGCGGATTTCTCGCTGGGCCACAGATGTTTGACGACAGCTCGAGGAATGGCACTCGGGACAGACGCTGGCACTCGTCGTTAAAGCCTGGAATATGTCGGGGTGGCCGGGTGGTTTAGGATTTTAAAGACAATGAGCGGTCACAGCTGAGAGCCGAGGTTCTTGTCCTCCCTAGTTTCAGCCGCCTGTGATTAAATCTCGTTCGCAGGTGGAGCGAGTAATGGCCTTGTTGCCAATGACTGCTCACACAACAACAAAAAACATCACATTCAATGAGTTTTTCACCTGATTTCGCAAATATATGAAGTCTGAGAATAAAAATAGTATATATCTCTGAAAAAATCTTGTTGTATTGACATTCGCCCCATCTGAGCCACATCAAACCTGGCCCAGAATGTGGATAAGTGGCTTCCGTAGAAAGAGAGCGGTCCTGCGATGGGATTTTATGGGGCTTTTCTGTAACACAGGGTGTCCACTGCTATCTACGAGAATTTCGAATGGAAATTCCTTAACCTGGTGAAATTGCACTGCCGGCAACAGTTGGAATTTAATTGAATTTGTTACGAGTCTGGTATTTAACCTCCTGGCACTTGCCAGTCATTCAGTAACCGACGACGATGATTCTGTACGCCCAGATGAAGAGTTTCAGCTTCATCATTTTATAATTGAGTTCACGGCCACTACCGCCCTGCAGAATAATTGCAGACAATCAGGACCGGCAAAGTCAGGCCTGCTTGAGAGAGCTCGTGCAAAAAACATTGGTCGCTTTCCAGAGATAATTGAGCTGACTGCAGGGCTGTCACGGGACAATGGTGCTGTTACACCTCAGCCCTCTATTGATTGCGTATCACACCTCCCAAGTTGGGTCGGCCAAAATCACACGGATTTGTTTGTTTGCTTTGGCTGCGAGTCTGGTTCAGTTCCCAGCCGAGCTTCCGAATCGATGCTGCCCCGAAAAAAACGCCTGATTACACTAAAAATTAAACGACATTTTCCTTGTGATATCCCCTTGGCAGCGGTCCACAAGCACAGGCACAATAATAAATTAACAAACTCGTCAATAACATAACCCGAATAGGAAAAAAGATACATACTGTATATTTCACAGTTGACGTTTCAGGCAATAGTCCTCTTTCATAGCAGAGCTCAATGATTATAAAAAGGTTGACGCACTGGCTGACCTGATTGTAATATAATTATATTACGATCACACACAGGAGTATGCCTCTGCAGTGTACGGTCTCAACAAATGGGCTTGCGATCCCGGCTATCACCCAAATCCTAACGAAGAACATGCCAGCTGATGTCCGAGTGCCATTGTTTATCCGTCGCTCGCCTCGTGTGATGAGCGTATAGAGGCAAATCGAGAGGTGTCTGATAGCAGTAAGCTGACCCCGTTTTCAGTGAATCGGTGAAGGTATATTGTGTAGCATTGTGAACAACCCATTCTCACCCATGGGGCCGTGGCGGACACGTCAAGGCTGGACTGATAATAGCTCACCACAACACCACATAGGCACATTTTATTGTTATGATTACAAAACTATCACGTGTTATTTGAAAATACCATGGGGCACATGGGTTGCTGGATTCATACTTATATATTTACTGGAGGGGGCGGGGTGTGTGTGGTAAGTGGTGGCGTAATGGTCAGCACAATGTACGATGAATCCAGCAATTTGTGTTCGATTCCCGGCCACGGCTAACATCAGTGGCGAGCGATATCTGAACCAGTTCTTATACATAGACGCATATACACACGCGCACACGTGTGTATATGTGAATATATTTACTTGTATGCAGTTCAGTGTAAAAGCCTTCACGTGTGTATATCACGTTACCTGTGTCGCCCGCCCATGTTTGCATTGTTTTTCACAAGCCTTGTCTGCATTGATGAGGAAGCCAATATCTCAACCCTCGCTCTCTTCATCGCATGCCGGAAGTCCCTCGTGTCATCGGCATCGTCGCACTGAAGAAACACTACCGCCCTGAAAAATAGCGCTGCAGGCAATCACCAGCCATGACACCCTGACCTTCAATCCCACCCGTAAAATGTAAATGAGCCAAAAATCATACAAAAGGTTGGGAATTTGTTGCTAAAATTAAATTATCTAAATTATTAGCTTTTTTTTTAACTCAATCCTAATGCAGACTGTCTGAAATGCAACGCCTTCGTGAGAGCCCTGCACTCTAAGACTGGCGTGAATACCAAATGTACATCCTGTTCGTTGCACAAAACCCCTTCTAATTGGCTGCTGCGGTATTTTTCGGAGCTGTAGTTATTTTTCACAACATTGCCGCGCATGCCCGTGTGTGTGTGTGCACGTGTGCGTGAGCACACAGGTGTGCGTTTCGAAGTATTTGACGGCATTTAAACAAAACAAAAAAATCTGTTTTTCTTGATACTGGTTTCACCACTCACTTGCTCCATGCGCAACTGAGACTGGGGGAGGACGTGAGCGGAATTATATTCTAGATTTGAAGCTTTCGTGACTGCAAGGATCCATACTCTTTGGTTCTATTCGGTAAAGTCACGTTGTTTTTTTTTTTAACCTACGTGACTTTACCGAATAGAACCAAAGAGTACAGAATTATATTGTTTTCATGCCGGGTAACTGCGGGAACGTGGCTGGGTTTTAATGACTCTGGTCAGCAAGGGGATGGCCAGACATTTTCATTCATCGACCAAGGGTGAGAACTGGGCACTGGTTGTGTTAGGTGCGGTGATGGTGGTCGTGGTTATCCAGGCAGAGCTAACATAATGGGCAAGCGCCGCCATCTAATAGAGTAAAATGTAAGAGTAATTCCTCAATCACTTTATTTTTGGTAAATACGATCAAAATTGAGCATCCATCGTCATGGAGAATGTTAGTAACAAAATAAACAGTGTCTCCGCATAAAAAAATCATATTTTTGCACTACCAAATGGCCACACGGCCTTCTGGGAATTCGTCTTTTCAGCAGCATTGGTTTCATTTATGCAGCTCACTCCGCATCAACATGTCAGAGTGCTTTATGTCAAACAACATTTATACGGATGCTTAGAGTACATTTAAAAAAATGGAAACATTAAGAAATATTTACTTGAAATAAATAATTCTACCAGTTCGAAAAAGGATAAATTATTTGTCTGCATTATTTTGTTCCCAAATAATGCATTTCGAGCACCTTCAATGAGAGCAAAAGGAGAAATTTTACTTTAAAATTTTGTTAAGTTGAGTCACTCGTCCTGCTTATAATTTGAAATTCGTGGCAGTGGAATAAGAGGGCTTCTTAGCAAGCTTAAGTTCAAGCTGATCACCACATCCAGTATTCCTCTGGCTCTATGGGCTGTGGATATCGAGTCACGTGCCACCCACTTCAATCTACCTGTGACCCAGAAAACAATTGGTGAGAAACTAATCCCTGTTCTTAGCCTCGCCAATGAATAATACAACTCATTTCTGACTTGGCACATATCCCATGAAATACCACCTATACCGGCGAGGGCCCTGCCCTGGTATGGCACGGATGTGCCAATGGAAAAGAGGTGTAAGAATGTACGCTGGGTGATTTGCTCGCAGCACACGGGGCCATTACCCCTCCTCCAGTGTTTGTGCGCCACTGTAACGGGGGCAATAAATGCACCGAAGTGATTGACAGCCGTTCATTTACGTTCAGCGTCGTCTCCGTAGCCTATGACCAAATCACCCGCAATGTGGCCAATTCTCAGAATCTAAGCGGGTTGGCGCCTGGCCAGCATGTGCATGGGCAACCCATGGCCTTGTTACGGGCTGCGGGGGGCCACGTTGTGGGCAGCAGCGGGCAGTACAACAAAATCCATTATACTATGCTGTCTGGACCAAGGAGCTGTTACATGTCCACACGTGTGCGTGATCTCCATAGCAACTCATTTGCATTTGATTTTCTGTAGTTTAACGCTAACTTCCGCCTTGGCCTTTACACAAGAGTAGGTGCTGCTGCGTTTTACGCTGCGATGGCTATCGTCGCCGTGGCATTATGCGAACGGGCGCTGAATATCTGGAACCTTGTGAAGTTGTACGGGCGGGCGCACGATCGATTTGGTGGGACCAGATTCACCGATTTGTTGCCGGTTTGCCCCACACCCTTACGGCGCCGCACTTTGAACTTCGCTTATTCCGCTCCTCACTTGGCTTGTGCGTGTCCTCACCAGTCGGTGTAGCGATGTGGGAGGTTGGTGACCATGTGATCGTGGGCAAATGGAGCAAGTGATGGTGGATTCAGCTGATAACCTGATGGACGTTTTGCATATTATATGGACCAACCATTAAAGGGCATGTAACATCATTGGCCGAGGGAAGTACTTGTGAAATTCCAGTCGTTGGTGGCCCACCGCAGTGCAGATTTCGGTGATTACCAATTATCGGGTGTGCAGCATGTCGCCGATTCGTTATACGAAGATTGGAAAACATCAGTAAGTCTGGAAGGTTGCACCGTGGATGGGAGAGGGGATGGGAATGTGGCGATTGGAATTTGAGAATTACTTGCCCCGAGTATGCCATCGTAGGCCAGAGATTAATTTGGAATGTTTTATTATCCTCCCTGTAGGGCAGGACATTGAACGCATGAGAAGTGACAATGTCTAACTTGATATATTTTTTACAATGAAACAAATTTGTATGCGTGTGCACGTGTGTGCGAGCGCGTCAAGATGCCACACATACGTACGCATCTCACATTTTAATCTGGACAAGTTGGCTGCTTTAATGCAGAGCTCAGGGACATGGTCACTCTGCCATCGTTTTGATTGCACTTTACACAGTCTTGGGAATCGTGATTCAAGCGCCCTGCAGAGAGACCACATCGTCCATTTACCCGCCGGCACTCCGCCTACGATTCCTCCGCTCTGCATGCTACCCAACACGGAGGGGGGGGGGGGGAAAAACGATTCCACAGCTGCGTACTAACCAACGTCTCTTCCTTCCTCTCCTGTCTTTCCTTCATCCCTTCCCCGGCTCTCCTCTTTCTGCTGCTCCGTCTTCCCTCGCCGGTGCAAAGCGCGCCAGCGAGCCTGTTGGACAGCCAGAAGCAGCTAGCCACTAGACCGAAGTGCATCCCTCTGCACTGTCTGTCAAAACCCACACACTTGCCGTAGTCCCTGGACGATTGCCGCCACGAGGGGCGACTCTATCCCGCCCCCACCTCCCCCCTCCTCCGGCGACGTCATCCTTCGAGCGTGACCCGGGCTAATGTCACCCGCTCAATTGCCCACTCGCTGGCTCGTCCTTCAGCCCGGTCGTGCAAACTTAACGGAGAAACTCGCAGAGTCGGTCAGTCGGTGGGAGAGTCGAAGTCGTGCCCGGCACCAGGCCGCTATTTCGTTCCCCCCCCCCCCCCATGTTTTATTTTCGTCGACAATCCCCCCCCCCCCCAATGGAAAGACACGGACATCACGGATGATAAATTACCAATTTAATCATGTCGATTTGTACGTCAGTAATAATTGCAGCGACGACAATAATAATCGATGAGCACATTTTGAGCGAGGGGAGAGAGTAACACACGCAGCGTGCCTACATCCCGAGGCTCTCGGCGGTGGAACCGAAACGTTTCCTTGCATGGTTTTTCCCCGGCGTCTTTTTTAATCGCTTTATATGTGCACGCGCACGTGCAGAGCGGTGAGCGCGTGCGACAGGGGTCGTTGTAGTTGCGCGTGCCCCATCTCAGCCTGTTGCCTTGGCGCTCACCGGACGGAGGCAGCGGTGATGCTGGCGATGTCGCCATTGGGGTCGGCTGGCGGTGGCGTCGTGATGCCCTAGGGCCCAAGGTGGCAGAGACGGATCTGGAAACTTTTCAAAAAGGTGGGCGGCAGAGGGTGGAGTGGGGGGCAGTCCTAAAATTTCAAGCTTTTTGCATAGGTCCCTCTCGATAAAAAAAAAAAACACATTTGATAAATTTTCTCAGATAAATAATCAACAAAATGCAAATTTTCAGGGCCTTGTGGGGGAGGAGTGGTGGCCAACCCCAACAGACCCCCGTCTGGGATCAGCCCCTGCACGGCGGGTTACATAGATAACCCCCCCCCCCTAGCCGACTTGCAGCCACTTTCAGGAGGTAGAACCTTTGTGCAGTCGGTGCACCCAATGAGGCCTGTAACCGACTGTCGTCCGTGTTGAGTGCTGTCCCCTCGCGTACGTAGGGTTTATCCAGTCTCTGGTTTATTCCCGCAAAGAGGAATGCACTCCTCACAGGACGATGTACATCAGCCAAGCACACCAAGAAGAATCTTCCTGCAAGAGTCTTGAGACCTGGCGAGGCTCTCCCAGATCACAATAGAAGCGACTTTTGAAGCGTTAAACATCAACACTTTTAGGAAAATAACGAGGAATACCCCAGAGATGCCATAAATTGGCATAATCCAGCAATTTGGTGGTCATGATTACAATTTAAAAAAATTAACTGGTTTTGTCTCGTAAATTTCTCAGTTCAGGTTAGTTAATGAGGCTCACGAGCAATGGCTTATAATTTGTCGTAACATTTGCGTTCGTCATGTTATAATATCCCGTCTTGCGCGCGCAATTCCAGACGTGTATTGTAAAGCATAAAGAATTAAACTTTAATCGATGCATCCTTTCTACACCTGGCTGTCTCGGCAATGGCCGCCGGTTAAGCCACGTGAGAATCTAGCAGTGACAAGGGTGAGGGAGTTGCGTGTTCATCAGTTTGTATGTTAATCTACACCGGGAGTGGTGGTGCAGTGGTTAGCGTGCTGCCCTACGAACCTGACCACCCGAGTTCAATTCCCGGTCCCTGGACTCATCCTAGGTCGACTCAGCCTCAATTGAGTACTCGGTGTGGCGTGTAAACATCGACTCAGTCCCAATTAAGTACTCGGTGTGGTGTGTAAACATCGACTCAGTCTCAGTTGAGTACTCGGTGTGGTGTGTAAACATCGACTCAGTCTCAATTGAGTACTCGGTGTGGTGTGTAAACATCGACTCAGTCTCAGTTGAGTACTCGGTGTGGTGTGTAAACATCGACTCAGTCTCAATTGAGTACTCGGTGTGGTGTGTAAACATCGACTCAGCCTCAATTGAGTACTCGGTGTGGTGTGTAAACATCGACTCAGTCTCAATTGAGTACTCGGTGTGGTGTGTAAACATCGACTCAGTCTCAATTGAGCACTCGGTGTGGTGTGTAAACATCGACTCAGTCTCAGTTGAGTACTCGGTGTGGTGTGTAAACATCGACTCAGTCTCAATTGAGTACTCGGTGTGGTGTGTAAACATCGACTCAGTCTCAATTGAGTACTCGGTGTGGTGTGTAAACATCGACTCAGCCTCAATTGAGTACTCGGTGTGGTGTGTAAACATCGACTCAGTCTCAGTTGAGTACTCGGTGTGGTGTGTAAACATCGACTCAGTCTCAGTTGAGTACTCGGTGTGGTGTGTAAACATCGACTCAGTCTCAGTTGAGTACTCGGTGTGGTGTGTAAACATCGACAAAGGCGGCCAGGCGTGGTGCTGGCCACCCACCACCACCTCCTCGTGTGCTGTGTTGTCCTTCATCGGTGCTCGCTAACAGCACTTGCCCCAACAGTCTGTTAAGGCTATACATGGAGGGGGGTGGGGGGGATCTTTGTGTTTTTGTACTTGATGTATATAGTTATGCACACCTTGTGCATCGAAGCGCGTGCGCACGCGTGTGTGTATGTACATACGCACCGAGCGGTTGCGTGTGCTTCTACGGTATATGCAAAAATGCGCGCGGTAGGTTGCGATGTTGCTAGAGGGGGGGGGGGGGGGGGGGGTGGCGATTCACAAGCGAAAATCTGCCACCGTCGTCGCTACGTGGCGCTTCCGGCGACGTAAAACGGATGACACGTCGTGCGTGCGTTGTTTTATTTTCCAATTTTACCCGAGCGAGGTGATGATCGTGGGCCGGAGCTCACGTTGTGCGAAACGAAACGACGGGAGGGACTCGTGCCGTGTGTGTGTGTGTGCGCGCGCACGCGCGTTGTACCTGTACCAGATGCCGCGTACAACTACAGCTGTAGTTATCAATTGTGCAATTAAAAACAGCGAATGAGTGTTAGTCGCTTACGACGCCGTTATATTTTATGTTGTGTTATTTTTTATCATTATTATTTGCAGGAAGAGCAAATTCAAATAACAATTAGTTCTTATCTTGTAGGCCACGTGCGCAGGCTATGTCCCTGGGCCTGTCCAATTCTTTTTTGTTCTTTTGAAGTTTGGAACTTGAGTGAGAAAGCAACTGTTAAGTTGTAACTTCAGGGGGGAAGGCTCTGTTATAGCACCTCAGTGATGTCACCACGACGATATCATTTCACGACGTGTGAGTTCTATTTCAATTTTTTTTTTCTCAATGATGAAGCTTCACACTCGTGCGTGACAGCCCGGGACACACAGTGTGCGGCTACGAGATAAGCGCTATCGGTTGTGCGCATCGCACCTTCCTGAAACATATTGCACGCTTGTTAGTTTGATTCGGTCGTTACAATTTGAGCTGGAAATCGACACGAACAGTCGCAACCTGACGAGACGGAGCTTTGATATTTGTCCGGTTTTGGCGGTCGATTATGTTTTTCAAAGTCCGCTTCCGCCCGCCGGGTTTTTTGCAGATCTGGCCTACGTATACACAGTCCACGCGTACGCGCGGATGTTTGGCGTTCACAGTTTACCGTGGTCGTCTGCCGCGTTGCTCTGAGAGTGGGCGTGTAACGGTGCCATCGATTCGGCGATTAAACTCGGCTCTTACGCTCGCAGTACTCGCATTGAATCGCTCGCGTACAAATAGAGAACGGAGACGTCAAGGTAGAAGCGTACTCAACAGACAGTACAAACGACCCTTTCTCGTGCAGATTAGACCAGCGATACAAAATATGTAAGGTGAAAGTGATTTCCTGCTCAAATGAGCATTATTGAAGCATTGGTGCTCATTTCTCCCATTGGCACCTCAGAGCCAGGAGTGGAAAATCCACATTCCTATGGCGGGGGCGACTGTATCACACAGCCATGACATATCGTCGAATCGAAGGATGTGCGAATCGTTACATGCGCTACTGCAAAGGCAACTGCGTATGTAGCCTTGTTTGCAAAGGGCGCTGCTATGGATACAATATTATCACGGTCATATTTTTTCACTTTTATTGTTTATCCTGTTAAGTCTAACTGAGACGTGCTCAGATATGGACAAGGGTAAGGGGTTGAGGCGGCTGTTCGTGCGTAAACTATCCTTGGGGTGGATGACGTCATTGGTTGGCTTTTAAGAGGCGACTGCTGTTATTCCGTCGATAAACAGAATGTCTGCGGCGAATATTCATTTTTCAGCGGGCAAACATTCACCGCTTCACAGAATCGTAAGCGGCTTGTAGTCGTGAAAACATTGACTCGTCATTCTCATCATCATTATTTGTCTTCTCTGGGGGGAAAGCCTCGCTGAGCCTCGTGTGGAAGAGGAGGGCTACAGCAACGGGGGATGTTGTCTGCCCTTGTTTTATTTTATTTACGTCGCTCTCGGGAGCGCTGCCGAATCGGTTTCCTCAACCGCCGCCGCCACCCCGAATCGCCTTCCCTGTGTGTGAATTCGACCTGAGCCCGGCGTGAGGATGAGCAACGCGAAACGAGCGCAGAGGGAGGGTTGGGGGGGGGTGGCCCAAGGGGTTCTCGCTGACATAGGAATCAAATGTATGGAAGGTCGGGCTTTAGGGATCTCAATCATGTGCGGTTCATACTTAACTTTTGCTGTTACACTAATTAGTTTTTCTTTTGCAGTGTTTACATGGAATTATCGTATATCAACTTGTATGTAAATACGCCGCGCATTACTAATTTGAGCCGCGGCCCGCGTGAGTTTAAGGCTGGCGGCCGGACTGTCGACATCGTTGGCACAGGTGATGCAATCAAAGGTGTTACTGCGTTTTTATTTTAATCGTTTGAGATTTGTTTTTATTGTGAAATCTTTTATTTAAGTTTGTGAGTTCACGGCGATGTCGAGATCCCCACCCCCCTCCCGTGGCCCTATTGGCAGTGAGCGGAGCCTGGGATTTGGGGCCCCGTAACGACGCGTCCGTTAATTGATCAAAATCGCGATGCACGCAATGGATCCCGTGCGCTCGCCATCGTTTATTCTTACATTTCATGCAAATTACGGAAATTTTACACAACGACTGATTCGCGAATGTTACGTTTAGGCTAACGGAGCGGAGAAAAGCTACACAAACGAGGCGAAACATTTGAGACGGTGAAAACGCGACAGAAAATGTATCAATTCTGAAGCCGATTCCCGATCACAATCGTATCGAATCGCTCAGGAGTCGGTGGGGTGGGTGGGTGGCACATGTGGTGCGGTGTGATTCGTTACGTGCACTGCCCTCTCTCTGCTCCTGAGCAAGGGGCCATTTCCCGGAACATCGCCTCGTCATGTTATTCCGTTGCCGTGTCATGGGCGTTGTTTATATGGACCTCGACGATGGTAGTGGCGTTTTCATGAAGAGAGACCCTGTTTTCTTTTGCCAGGGCGAATGTACAGCCACAGCGTCAGTGTGGGAGCTGCCCACCGCTGCCAGTAAGGGCCACGCCACTTGTGTCGTTAACCCCATAACTGAAAAGCAAATGAAAAGTGAAGAAGCCTCACTCGGTAATGGAAGGGGCGAATACTTGGGGAGCGGAACACACGAATATGAACCGTGACAAACTAGCCAGCCAAAAACGTATCCTGAGCATTAACGATCCAACCAAACATTAAGCCCTAGTCTAAACTAGCCAATCAGACACTGCGCCGTAGTCTAAACTAGCCGATCGGACACTCCGCTGTAGTCTAAACTAGCCAATCGGACACTATGCCCGAGTATTAACTAGCCAATCAGACACTACGTCCTAGTCTAAACTAGCCAGACACTACGCCCTAGTCTAAGCTAGCCAACCATGCAGCAGCCCTAACCTCTGCAAATGAGAGCTCGACACGAGCTCTGACACTTAAAAACTACCTCGCCAGCTAACCATGACCATACAAAAAGTAGTTTAATAAATGAGATCCTGGCAGGAGCCTTAATTCTCATCCTGACAAACGAGCAAACCAGCCCCAAACCGTGCACCCCAACCAACGCGGCAAAACTACGCTAAACCATCTAGTGCCGACTTGATGCACGATTTGCCACTTGCGTCGCCTTCTTTGAGAATTCTGCCTCGACGATTAACCATACCAGACCCACAAGATGCTAACAGTTAGCCCTACACCCCCAAGACCCTGTCCACATCCCCGGATCGTTTGTCAGGTTTTGTTCGCTTTTCAGTTTTGGTCTTCACAGCACCCCCCCCCGC